GTCTTTACTTTGCTAGGTGGGTGGCGCTTGCACAGCAGGACTCTTATTCGTCCAAATGTGATTCTGTGACTAAGTTGGGAGCTGATAGATGTTAAGCAGCAAATTTTCAAAATAAAGCGCAGCAGGTTTGGACACAACCAGATCAGTCAAGGTGTGTAACAGCAAACCTGCTGAAAGTGTGGAACGCCTGCGCTTTAAAAACTGAGGTTTAAGTCGTCACGTTTCTTAAAAGTGTTCGTTTCTAACGCGCTGCGGTGAAACGCAGATCCTCAACTATCAAAAACATTTTGACAAGACTCTTCCATGTATCATGCGTCTGCTCCTCAGCATGAGTTTAGCTTCTGAAAACATGGCTGCTGGCAAGCGGAGCGGAGACCAATGCCGCCAATGCAGGAAATGGACTTCCGTGCAGGGCATTCTGGGTAAATAAAACCCAAACAATGGTCTTTTACCAACGACAAGAGAAATCGTACAACCTCTAACGTCGGACACGAGTCCATTTTTGTTCACATTTCTCAGAGAAGGATTTTGCGCTCTGCGGCTCTTTCGGAGGTTTTTGTGTCAATTCCTTTAAGAGGTCTTTGTGCGGCGCCACCACAGGCGGGGAGGGTAATAGGTTTTTCACATGGTTTGGTTTGTTTGACACAGTGCAGTGTTGAAGTGAACCACAGCAGCTGAAAATACAACAAATGTAGCTTTCGTCCCCATTGGAACCAACTCTTCCAGACGATCAGGTGTGGAAACATGAACACATCAGCAGTGATTAGAAAGTCCAAAGGAGGGAGAAACAAACGCAGGAACTTTTAATTATTATTAAAGAAGAGGTTTAACGTGTGTTCTTGCTTCAGATGGATTAGTCCTGACTTTTGCTAAAAGATGATCTCCTTGTTTTTCAGCTCATAGGTCTGTTCCTGACCTTTGAGCTGCAAAATGTGCTTATCTTGTGGCTCGGTGCGCCAGCTGGGTCAGCTGTCAGTCAGAGCGACCCACCCAAAAGGTTTGGACAAGAATGGACATACATGCAGGCTTCTCTAACAGCCGCCCGTCACATTAGGATTTCTGTTTGTCCGGGTTCTCGCTCACTCAGCGAAATTTGAATGAAACGGCTCAGTCTCTCTCAAGTGACATGGTGATTTTAAGCTTCAGGAACCAGCTTCTGGGAGGATTTTTAATTTTTTTTATTATAATATTTTGCTGTGGAAATATAACTATTCAACATCAGCCCCACTATCCTGCGTGGATCTTTTCAGCCATTTCTTTCTCCATCTGTCGCCACCTTTTCTCCTCTCTCTCTGTTTCTCCCTCGGTGTCCTCCCCTAGTGTGAAGATCAGAGAGGCTGCCATGTCTCTGCAGCACTGCTGTGATCACCGTGGGGAGGCCATGGAGGTGTGAGTGGGAAGGAGGAAAGCGAGGAGGGTCCGGGGCGCCCGACCGAAACGGTGCCACACTGCCTCCGTCTGGCACGGAGGGATCCCGGTGACTGGAGCAGCCTTTGCTCCAGGAGGATTAGGTTGCATAATTCTTCCGCATAACAGAAAAAAGTGGAGAAAAAAAAAAAAAAACGTGCCCACAACCCCTTCAACTGGGACACGATTCTTCTTCTTTTGCTGGGATTCAAATGAGAGAATGGAGCTGATTTAGCAACAGATTTTATGTGGTTATAAAGAAACAGCAAAAGTATTCAAACAACAAATATAACTGAGTTCTAATTGGCTGATGATGCATAGATGATACTATGACGACTTCAACCTCAAAGTCTGTTACAGTCAACAGGTCATGCTGTGTTTTACGAGGTCAAAAGTTCAAAGCTGGAATAACAGAAACAGTATGAAAGCAACTGATATATTTCTCTACATGCCACAGAGTCATTTGAATGCAGTCGCTGTTGTTTTATTCTTTATAGTTGCTACTTAATTTATTCTCCAATGGCAAACGGCAATTAAATTAATCTTCTTTGTTGTCGTGCTTGTGAGACTGGAGGTATTAAAGCTAATTATTGCATTCTCTGGTTGAGTCAGAGGGATGGCAGATTTTTTTTTTACATTTTTTTACCCCTTTTCTTGTTTTAGGAACAGCTGTTGTTTCCTTCCACACCTGCAATTAGCCAGCTTTTTAGGTCAGGGACTGTTTGGGGCTATAGAACAAGCTGTGCTGGGTACACACACACACACACACACACACACACACACACACACACCAACACAGAAACAGAAAACTAGAAAAAAAAAAAAAAAAAAGTCCACGGTTAAGGTCAGTTCAACAAACTGCAGCGTTCATTTTAGACTTATTTCTACTGCTCTGACATGACGATATAAGCTGATGTGGTGATCCGTCAAAGTTTTGGATCTATGTCACCCCTCATTTATTCATTTAATAACGTGCGTGATGCAGAGACACACACAAAGCCCTTCATTTAAAATGAAACGTGTCAAGACGTCATCTGCGAGTTATTTCCAGTCGGTTTGGTAAAACTGAAACTGTTGGCGTTAAGCTTGAATTTTATTTTTCGTAAGACCAATCCAACGCCGTGAAATCGTCAACGGAACGACTGACGTAGCATTCGTGCTCATCGGGAAACCTTGACGGTTTCATTTATCAGGCTTGATGAATGGCATCAAATTTAATCGTCGTCATCACACAAGGCCAAAAGCTATTTGCTTGTGATGAGAAACCAAATGAAAAGATGCACACCTTCACTTGTGCATTACTAAAAACAGAAAAAGAGATTTTGATGTATTAACACTGACTTGAATAATCTGTCATCACTTTGTACTAAAAGGGTTAGAGTTAACATTTATGTGTGACAAGCTGACAAATTAGAAACCACAAAGGAGACGTCACAGAGCATGAATGCTATTTATTGCAAAGAGACGGATACGTTTCGGGGGGAAACTTGCAGAAAACTTTGGTGAAAATGACCTGACCTAAGCAGTTCTGTTTTCTTTGACCAAGTGTTTCAATATCTGTGGATATGAACAGGCTTCTCCCAAAGCAATAAGCAACAGCCCACACTCTGTCTTGTGAAATTATTAAGTTTTGCTCCCAGGATATATGCTACCACTAGAACGCTGGAATTGCAACTGAGGTTCAAAGAATGAAAATCTGGAAAGACATAGAGCTTGTTGTAGTTCAGTGGATCTATGTATGTATTTGCAAAGTCTTTTAGTTCACGTATTTTGTTTCAACTGCCTGGACGCTTATAAAGTCGGCACTCAAGAAAGATCCGTTTCAAGTGGACATTTAATCGTTACTGGTTGCTAAATGAGATCAACACAGCCTCCTATGAATGTAGTGATGCCATAATAGAGGCAGTAACTTTAAAAACAACTCTTGTGAGCTTTACGTAATGTCATATTGTTTTTCCCTCAACAAAAATGTACCTAGAGGGGGCGCTGTGGTGGCGCAGGAGCAACTGCACCACCCATTTACTGAGGCCATAATCTTCAGCATTCATAAATAAGTCGAAGGTTCAATTCCCGTCCAGGATGTCTTAGCCCGTCAGAGGCCCAATTTCATAACCTTAAATAGTGAAGTCAAACTTCTTTTACGTCATGTTTGATATCATTTTCATAACTGAAGGAAACATAGTTACTTGATAGTCCTATAAAATTATACTGTGTTGCTGGAAAACATTATTTTGTCTCACACAAAATGTCAGACACGTCTTTTTTTGCTTTTTTTTTGTAGTTTGAAAATAATTATTCCATTCATTAATGAAGTTTGTACCTTTGCCAGCCATTTTATTAGCCACAGAAGTTTGATTCCTTGCTTGTGAAAAAAAAAGTGAATAAATAAGTCACATTCTGCCTTAGTTGTGGTCAAATGAGATGACATACTAACATCCGCTCATAAAAAAAAAAACATGAGCCCTTCAAATAAATTGATTAATACTATGAGAAATATGGTGTATTGTGTAATATAACATAATGTGATTAAAAAAAAAAAACAACTAAAAGCAATGTGCCTGGCCTGAGCTGATCATGGCCTCATTTGAGAGGTGGCAGCTGGTCTGAAAGGCAGAGACAACAAGGACATGGCTGTGACCTGGTTTGAATGGGAGGGCGCTAATTAGGATGGTGATTACTGGTTGCTAGTGCCACACCGGGGACAGGACCAAAAAAAAAAAAAGAGAGAGAAATATATAACACACATGTGTATTTGACAGCCTGGAGTAGAGGGCTTAACAGCACAACAAAAGAGCCAGCAGAATACATAGGAGTTTCATAAAAAATAAAAAGAGGAAGAATATTATTTAAATCCAATTCAAGTAAAAAACACAATGCTGATATGTAATGAATTGTGTCAACCAAAACTGGGAACAGCTAAGTGGAGCGGCGCAGAGAAAGGAGGAGGTGCTGTGAAGCTGCAGTATGACTTTTATACAAAACATTTTGTTTTCACATGGGTTGAAACTGTCTCTGCGTCATTACAGTATGGCATGAGACAGGTAATCTGTGAAAAACTTGAAATTGTCTGCCTTCTCCAGCCTATCAGAGCCAGGGGGTGGGTCTTAGCGATGTCAATCGCAACTTCATGTGGCGCTGCTCGTCCTCCCCCCTCCTCCCTGTCCAGGCCCTCCACTGCTCTGCAGCTAGCGTAGCCTGTCATGAGCGCGCAGTCTAGTTAGCAAATTGTGTAAACACAGTTTTTCTGTAACAGTAAGTTGTTTCTCCGCCATCAGAACTTTTAGCAGCAAGTTGACTGACAGCACTAAGCCCCGCCTACTGGCTGTGATTGGTTGTGTTTTTGATGAATTTCCTAACACAGCAATAGTAGCTCAGTGAGGAGGTGGAGGAGAATGATCTTTTCACAAATTGATTGTCTCATAACAAACTGTCACAACATCGGATAAGATTAAACAAATGTGGAAAAGATATTTTTTAATAAAAGTTAAATACTGCAGCTTTATTTTTTTTTACTGTAGAATGAGTTGCAGTTTTGAAAACGATCACTACTGTGAAAACAGACCTTACCATCCAACGATGAATCAAGACACCACTTGCTCCTCATTTAGTCCTTTATTTAAAACCAAAACAATCAGAAAGCCTTTCAGTATCCTTGTCAGAAAATTCTATTTTCCACAGCGATTCGTTCGCAGTGGTTCGTCTCGAACTGCTGTAAGCTCTGTGGTGAAGGACGAGGAGTCTAGCCCGGCCCGAGGTTCTGCATGATCTCACGCTGCTCCTGGTAGAGAGAATAGAAGGACTGCGCTAAGCTGAGGAGGGGGGCGTCGCAGCGGACCATCTCTTTCTGGAAGACATCAGCGCGATCACAATGAGATGCTGCTCACATGTCGCTGGTGGGTTTGAGGAACAATTCATTATCAGGCTATTAACAGGATGAAGCGTTTTCAGCTAAACTCACAGCTGATGTCTCGTGGTACTCCAGCCCCTTGCTTTGGGCCCACTCCTCGGCCACGGACGCCTGCACTTCCCTTCTAGCTGACAGATCCGACTTGTTGCCCACGAGAACACCTGGGAGGTCCACATTTACACACGTATTTAGCGACTTTTGAGACAGAACAAAAATAAATACATAATCGGAATCGGCTTTTAAACGATCGACGATTGGCCAGAAAACTGCAATCTAGTTTTTAAACATACATGCAGTCATATTCAACACATTAGAATATGCGTGGTCCGATGTAATATTTTAATTTTAAATGTCTTGGTTACGTTTGAAAACCTCAGTCTGTGTATAATTCAACAAATTGCGAGTTGAGTTACTGAAATGAATGAACTTTTCAACCTTAAATTTATTGAATACTGTTGCGTTTCTTGAGTTAAAAAAAGTTTTCAAAGTTGACAGGAAATTTGAAAATATCACTTGATAATTTTGTGTTAATGAAAGATTAATACTTGAAGAACAACTATAAAGTCTTAAAAATGTAAACATAAAGAAAAAACTTCAATAAATAAGCAATGCTGAGCCTGGAGGCCCGCCAGGCTGATAATATACTGGGGGAAACCCACACTGTACATTTATGCTCGCCTGTTTTTGCCCCTGAATGACTTCGGTACACAAATAATCAAAATTACCTCAATAATTTCATCCATAACTTTGTTTTTTCTTTTAGGTTTTTAGAAAAAATTAAACATGATTAAATGATGGGGTGGGGAGAGTCGTTTTTTTTTTTTTACTTAAATCAACCAAAGGTAAAAAAGAAAAAAGTTGTCCAGTGGCATCTTGAAGTTGTTAAAATGAATTAATGTACTTAAAATATTGCGTTATTGTCCAGTTCTTGCTATGTTACTGAAAAACTCAATTATGATTAAAACAAGAAGAAAGTATGAATGTTGATTTAGAAAGCTATAAGCTATAAGATGACCTGTGTTTTTATATCGAATTCTAGGTTTGTCACAAATGAACCTCATTTTTGGTCCTCGTTCTCTTACCTGGCACACGGAGGCCTTTGCAGTGGGCCTGGACTCTTTCCATCCAACATGTGCAGTTAGCAAAAGACTGCTCATTGGTCAAATCGAACACCAGACACAGCAAAGATGGCTCCCCCCACTGCAGAAGGCAAGGTGATTGCAGAGGCGTCACACCCGTTTCATTTGTTCTAATTCTGCGACATTAGCAGACAGTAAAGCAGCTCCAGACGGAGAACCTTGTTAGTTTCATGCAAATGGAAACAGAGGAACCCAGAGCAGCTTCTGACCATTTTCTCGCAGCCCTCCACTAGCGTCTCCTTCCCCGCCGAGTCTAAGATATAGAGCTCCTGGAAAGAGAAGGAAAGGGAGAAAAGGACGGCACAGGTGTTACCCACAGAGATTTAGTCAAATTACACGATTAAACACTCCTTTCTCTGTGGCAAGGAGATGCATCTTCCCCTACTCCTCGGCCATATTGCTTAGTGAATACTGATAAGGACCTAACAATGTTACATGTCTGGCGAAACTTTTTCTCTGTGAGTGATGGTTTCTGGTTCTCCGTTTCCAGTCCCCCTGTGATTTTTTTAAATCTTTTGTTTAGAGAGTTTTAAAACAGATAAGAGCCCTGAACAATGCTTGGCTAGCTATTCCATTTTGTGCAGATAAGCCTAAATCCTACCACAGATTAATCTACTTGCTTATTTGTCTCTAAATCTGCTGTAATTCAGGATACTTACTACCAAAAGTTGCCTCTGCTGAATTCTAACCGCAACTAGCAAATAGATTGCCTAATTAAAACAAATAAAATAAAATACTATGCGTTTTTTTATTACTTTATTTATCTTTTCAAGCATTTGTAGTTGAAAGCGGCTGTAGCTCATTGTTCTTCTGATATTCAAGCTCTGTGTTGTGGATGATTTCAACATTAACAGACATCCAATGCGTTCACTGACGTCCAGCAATTTGCTAAGAACACATTGTAGAGGGTTTGCTTCTATATCTCCGAAATTATCCAATTTTATTCAATTTAGCATCACTTTTGAGTTCAAAAATATTATGCTTTTGATTAAGAAGTGCTGGCAAAACTCCCACTTTCACTTGCTTTGATTCTCTTTGGTCAACAACAAAAAAGAGCCTTCAGATCAGGCGCCGAGGGTTTGGTTACGAAGAGCGATCCGTCTGAGCCACGTTTAATAAACTACAGCTACAACAAAGTATAGTCAGCCTAATAAGAGAAAAAGTAATGAGCTATTACTGTGGGCATAAAGTGAATGAATACTAAATGAGGTTCTTGTTGCTCTTATTTAATTCTGCATTTTACTACATGTACTGCAGTAACTGTGATATTGAAGTTTTATCAACGTTGTAGCTCACTATGAAAAAAGGTAATCTTGAATTCAGTTACGCAGACAAATAATTACTTCCAAAAGAATGACCATGAACTTTCATTGACTTACCACAGAGTCGTTGGTCTCTGGTATGTTGATACATTTCATCACTAGCTCCACTCCCGTTGTCTGGCAAACACAAAAAACAACAACATTTTGTCACATCACATGTGGCTTCGTTCAAATGAATTTATCAGTTTACAACTACATTATGCTTATGTACAAACAAGAGAGTAAATGAGTTGCGCACACAGCATCACAACAAACTGTCCGTGGTGATTTATGGCTCATGCCAACACAGAGACGTCACCAATTTGCTGCTCGACTTGGCTTGAATGCAAATTCACTGCCTACCTTGATGCTGATGGTGTTATTTTTCTCTCCTATAGAGAGTTACGTTATTCAGCCACGTCGCCCAGCCATAGATTCAATGACTAGACTTAAAAAGACGGACTTCAATCAAATTCCATCTTCCTCCAGACTGATAAGGCACCCTGCTATAACTGTTCCAGGAGTTTATCTTCAGAGAAAATTGTTGATTAGCCATTAGAGTTGACCTTGGAGAAGTAAATTTCTAGGTTTCCTCGCATCAGCATCTAATTCTAAATTGATTTCATCTCTGCACCTTGTACTTAACTAAGCATGTCAAATGCAAGAGGCTGAAATCTGCAAACACCCACGCGTACCTTTCACAGTCGATGCTTCTGCGAAATACAAACACACACAGCTTCGGATCAACATTTACCTGATTTATACACAGTCACAGTTCATAACAAGGTTCCGCTGGTACGCATACGCACACACTGAACATGCTGCAGTCCCACCAGAGACCGGTCTAATGAGCTGGCGTGATGCATAGGAAGCTTCTTGCTGGAATGTCAATGAGGGCCTATTAGCAACAAATAAGCTTGGAATATTGCTACCAGGCTGTCTGACATTTTCAAAGGAGGACGTGAGCAGAATGGCAGGCCGGCATCAGCCGCCATTCAACATCAAAAGTTGAACAATCCGAAGGATGATTAAGATGAACTATCTGCAGCATTAGCCTGTTTGTAGCGTTAGTTCTAAATCGAGAAACACACTTTTTGTTTTTTCCACCAGAAATTTTATTTTTATGACACAAATACTACGTTGGTATGAATTTATTTTCTAAATTCAACCAATGTAGCGCATATAGTTGGTGCTTGATCTGTGGTTGTCACTGTTAAAGCTACGTAAATTTGTTGAAAGTTATTACTGACATGATCTCAAGAGATCTGATTCGCTAACACTATTTCTGGATAAATCAGATTTCTGCAAAAACTCTGGATGGCTCACGTTGATGATTACCATAAGATACCATTTTTGTGTTTGTCTGAAACTTTACATTTACAAGCATATCCTCATTTGGTGTTTATTCTTTTTTTTTTTAGGTGATAACCTACTGGACAGAATTCGGTTGCATTATAAATTTGCGGTTATAACATCAAAACGTCCAACAGTGCTGCTGCACCTGCAGGATTTCCAGAATCCTGCAGTATTAATTATCGACAATCTTGTCCCCTCAGAACACCAATAGTGCTGAAGTAGCAAGGCCAGAATAAACACACACACGCACACACACACACACACACACAGTAACTCTTGGCTTTTTATGAAGTGAAAATAGTCTCAAAATATCTGTACAAATACTTTTACACATGCCCAGATATTTTGAGACTATTTTCACTCCATAGATATTTCCACCCTTGTATTTTCCAACCTGTTTAGTTTAATGATACACTAAGCAAACATTAATTTATTTTGAAAGAAATTAATGAGGGGAACATTCCTTGCATATGCTTTATACTCTCTAGTCACGCAATAAAGGCGTGACGAAAATAAAGTTTCACTCCTACTGTTTGATCTGGTCTTTACTGGCTTATAAAGTTTGCTAAATCTAAATATATATCAGTTGAATATATCCTATTTCTTTTGGTTTATTTGTTTTTAACTGCAGCTTTGTAATCATTTACAGATCATATTGACCCACTGCACAACATCTGAAATGACATAAAATGATGTAACGTATAACCTGTCACTACTACTAATGATATTGTACTTGTTCGTCAATTAGCTTCTGTCAGTAAAATTCATTAATATGCAACAAATTTAATCAAGAACAATGTAAAGAATTTCAAGAAAAATCTATAGTCATGGATCAACCTGTTGTGATCAGTTGTAGCTGAAATTGAGATGTTACATCTGATTAACTTCAGAAACTAATTGCAACTTACTAAACCAAGGCTTTTAAAATCATCCAGCAATGAAAGCCACAGTTTTCAGAGTCAGATTAATAGTTTAGTTTCATCCTTTAAATGTGGGCTCTCAAAAAGCACATTATGTACTTTATGTACTACAAAGACCAGTACTATTGGTGATGAAAGCTCTCCGGACTCGTTTGCTGATGACATGATGTGACATGATTAACATTTTTGCAATTTGCTCTCACCAAGCTATAGTTCTTCTGGAACAGAGATCCGTCATTGTAGAAGATGTGAGAAAGGGAACTTTTCCCCACTGCTGCATCGCCTGTACACACAGGAATAAAAAAATGGACTTTATTTAAACTACATTGTCAATCATGATTTTTTTTATGTTTTAGTTAACATAGATAAATATTCGCTAAATTATTTAGTTGTGTTTTATACATTAAATTACTATAACAGATGGATTGTTTCAATCGTCTTTTCAGATGTGAGGCTATCAGGTTAAGGGTGATAAGCAATTATCCTTGGCTAAATCGGGACAAAACAGATGTTTTTAAATAGTGATGTTTCAGTAAAACTTGGAAAGTTGGGCACAAATCTTTCAGGTCGACTTAAATTTTGTTTTATGTTTTTGCTATTTACATCGCATGACAAAAATACTATCCAAAACACATTTGATCACCTAAACAATTGCTGCTGCATTTGTAGCTGTACATCTGAAAACTGACTTTACTGTCTTTTAAAATTTTTACTGTCCTGCAGGCCATTTTTCATGCATTTTTCATACTGTGTATGAAATTTTTTTTTTGAAAAGGTGGAATGATGGATTGTGACGATAAACATTACATGTAGCTGGCTGAGAGTCCAACATCATTTCCCGGAAAGTTTTCAGCTGCATTTAACCAGCAAATTGGAGGAACAGCAAACCGTAGCTAATATATGACAACACGTAGATAAATACACGGATGTCATCTGAGCTTTAGGTTGCATTTAATGAAGGTGAAGCAGATGCTTGCCTGTTCATTAGCTTCTAGCCCCTATGTGAGGGGGCTAAGACAGCATAAATTCGCAGTTAAACGTCCACAAACCTTACCGAGAAGCAGACATCTTGCCCTCAACTTCACCATCACACGGCGTACATTCGAAACCTCGTGAGAAATATGTTAAGGGTCTGTTAATAAATTAAATAGCATTCCTGCTAGCAACTTTAATCTTCCATTCGCCTCGGCAACATGGACAAAACTCGTTTCCTAGCAACTGTTCCCGACAGTCATTGGTCCAATCAGCCAGCACGTAAGTGGCTATATCATGTTCCCATTGGCTATTTGTGATGACATGGCATGGTTCCCCTGAGGAGGTCTTGTAAGGCAGAGCTTTTCGTAAACAGAGAAGAAGAAAAGCATATCAAACTTTTCCGTGCGGCTGAGGTTCCGGCATCTCCGTGTATGCTAACCAGCTAACCAAGTGTTGTAGATATGGGCTGTTTTAAAGGAAGTATGCAAAAAGCAGTATAGAGGGAGAATTCCATATTGAAGCAAAGTGTAATATGACCACTAGAGGGCAGAAAATGCACCATAAATCACCCAATTATACTGAGATGCATACATTTACTTTTGCCTTTTTAATGTGGTGTGATTTAAATAGGCATATAGAAAACAGTTGTTTTCTATGTGTTTCGAACGTAACCGGTGTGACGTCATCCCTGGGGAACGGGCGCTTTGAATTCGAGCAACCTAAAGCAGCGCGTGACTTTCTTGTGATCCTGTGAGGATATGGCAAGCCTTTTTTTTTTACATAAATTCGGTTTCGTCTGACTAATAATTACGTTCTAGATATCTAAAAATCCATTTTGACGAGACAAAACTACATTTTGACTATCCGGAATGGTAATTTAAGATTTTAGATATCTGAATTAAGAATGACATAGAAGCCTCTTTTTGCTGTCCAAACAGTTGCCTGCAGAATTTTATGTTTCCTGCACAAAAATGTCAGTAAATGCCACAAATCAGACAGAGCTCGGCAATGTTGGAAATGCAAAGAACGCAAAACTTTATAAACTATAAGACTGCTAATGATATCTGCCAAAAAAAAAAAATCCTGTTTATTCATTTCCGACGAACCAAATGTACTTAAAAATAGCTTTGAAAAGCTAAAATTGTCAATCCATTTTCAACATGAAGAGGTGAATTTTCAAACCTCTTTTTTCGTGTTTCTTTCAAATTGCCACGTAAATCAGAGACGCTTTAACTAGACAAAATGCTAATTCAAGATATGTCATTTTGACCAGTCAAAATTATAACTCAAGATATCTCCAATTTAGTTTTGTCCAGTCATTATTTACTTTTAAGATATCTATAATTTCCACTAGTCAAAACTACATTTCTCCTATCCAAAGATACATTTAAGATATCTTGAATTATGGACTAATTAGAGATATCTTTAATTAGAAGTATGACTAGTCAAAACTACAATCGAGATATCCTGAATTATTGTAGATAATTAAATTATCTACAATAATTTAATTGTAGATATATCTTGAATTGAAGACCCCATACAACTCAATGGTAAATCTGACGTCATTTCGACTAGTCAAAATATAATTAAAGATCTTAAATCGCTAAAACGTCAACTCATAAAAGCTATTTGAGATATCTGGAATGTAAGGGCGGCAAAACCGGATTTATGTTAAATGGGCTTGCCATACTGGTGCCCTATAAACGTTTCTGCTTGCTCACGGGGCCAGTGCGTACGTAGAGAGGGGCGGGGGGGAGTCGGGGGTGCGCGCTCCCGTAGAAATAACACGATTCTTTCGAGATTCAGCTCCAAGGCGTGACGAACGAAGCGCGTTCATGTGGCGAGGGTGTGAGGGGGGGCAATACAGCATCATCAAAACACTGAAACACACACCTCCATCCAAACAGCTAAGCTCCCAACCGGAATAAACAAAAACACAAAGTGAAGATAAGCGAAGGAGGGGAACATTGCGCGCTCGAGAGCTTTTCATTTTCAATTGTTTTTACATTTATTTTTTTTATCATTATTATTTTTTTTTTCGCCTCCACCCGGAGCAGGTTTGGGTGTTTTTTTTTTTTTTTTTTACCTCCGTGTCGACTACCCGGTGGTTCTCCACACACACACACACCTACCTTGTGCCTTTGGAAAAAAACACACAGTCACACAGCGGGGAAGGAGACGGGGATCATCTGAGAGGCGGCTGTCCAGAGAGGAGGTGGAGGACAATGGAGGGGATGCAGGCATACGGAGCCGGGAAAGCCGGGGGAGCCTTCGACCCGGTCACCTTCCTCCAGCAGCCTCAGACCGTGCTCCGCATCGTGTCTTGGGTAAGAGAAACTCCAGGTTGACAGAGGTGAACGGTGGGATTTGTTGTGGTTGTGCAGTTTGTGTAAGGCCTTCCCTGGTGAGTAGTTCTGAAACATTAAAAAAAAAAAAAAAAAAAATCTTAAACATTTTTTATCAAAGACACAAATAATGTCCTTGCCACCATTTAAAAAAAAAAAAAATACGTTGTTTTTGTTCGTTTTGGTGTCAAGGACAAGTGACTGCAATTGACATCTCTTCCTGTCGTTGCTGCATGATCCCATTGTGCAGGACTTCTGGTTTGGTGTTAATATTTAATATGATCACATTTGAAGCGAGTAAAGCCGCTTTCAGAGTTTCTGTTTTTCCAATAGCTGCATATTGTCAAAACCACAGAGGAGCAGAACCAACCAAAGGCCTGGCAACAGTTTGGGAAACTTTTGAAGACGCTCTTTAGGTCAGCAGCCAAAAGCAATCCTTTTTCATTTGAAACGAGGTTTTAATGGTCGTTTCTCACAGTAAGTTGCTCTTAATCATGATGTGTGCCACACGGGTTTATTTTCCACCATAAATAAACCCTGATTATTTCAAGAAATCCTTGCTTTGTACAAAAGGGGTTTGACTGAGATCATCCTCTTAGCCTCTTAGTAAAAATATCTTTAGTTGCCTAACTATATGAAAGTCTGACTTTATCTTATTGCTCATGAATTTCTGCCGTTGATGTTTTCTAGTATCATTTCAGGTAAAAATAACAATAATAATAATAATAATAATAATAATAATAATAATAGTTTAAAAAAAAACTCTGAAGTTGTTCTTCTCCTAGTTGCTTTATGTTTCGGTAAGATCTCCAGTGCATTTGACGTGAAGTTTCTTATCATCAGCCTTGGTTTTGTAAGATCTTTCAGCTTTATGAAAGTTGCATGCCTTCATGCCATTAACTTGTTACCCAGGAATATCATGTGAGGCTAAGTCATGGGGTTACCCGCTGAAGCATGTCATAATCAGACCTGATTTCCCCCAGTCACAGGGTGACGCTTTCAGCTGTAGCTATAGGTAGGCAGTATGAACATCCCATGTTTCAGTCAGAACTTTGCACCTGATTATGAGCGACTCGACTCGTGTCGCGTTTTGAGAACGCGTCTCTTCAAAAGGCCTCGGAAAGAAACTTGTCCTGTGAACTGTTCCACGTTTTGCTCATTCAAATCATTGTCTTCTATTGCTTCCTGTTAGCCAAAAGAGACAAACTCTTCAAGACTGTTTGCAGGTCAAAATCTTACAAGTGTGGCGTGCACGTGGTTTCAGGCACTTTTAAACTGATTCCCTTAATAATAAAAAAAATACAAATCTGCTGGAGTAGTGGCGGTGCGGCATACAAATCCTTCATAACAGGAAGGCAAGGAAAAAAAGCAGAATGATTGATATGGAGGCAAATTATTAAACAATTTTTTTTCAATCGTTTTTTGAAATTTATTTTTATAAAAGAAAAAAGAGAGGGAAAGAAAATCTTTAATATCAGATATCTGATTTGCCATTGAATGAAATACTCAAATTTTTTTTAATTTTTGAATGATGTTGCCCAGCTCAACTAGCATGTCTTCTAACTACAAGATAGAGTGGTACTGTTTATTGAACAATAATAAATCTTTGGTTTAGTAGGAATGTAACATAATTAAAAAACAAAAAATCAGTTGTTAAAATTTTTGATTTATCACATCAAGTTGCTCTAATCTGGATCCTTACAATAAAGAATAACAATAATGGATATTGTTATATTTGCAATAAACGATTGCAGGTTTTACACTTTAGTTGGAGACTGACCCAGTGTGACTGTAAAGTCTTTCTGTGCAATATTCCAATTATTTGTTTAGTATTTTATTTATTAAATGAATTCATTATTGACATAAAAAAATTGTTTGAAAAAAAATAAGATTCCATTTTTCTAATGAAAACCATCTCCATTTATTTCCTGTGGAGTTCAAAGTTTTGACTTATCAAAATGGAAACTGCTGATCATTTTGTCAGACATTTTGTAGTTATTGAAACGCATTAAATCAGGCCATGAAATGTTTTCAATCAGGCTCACTCTTTGGTCCGTCATCAAACGCACCGCCGCCGAAGGGCCACCGGAGCGACGCCACGTCTCCATGGCGACGGGCGGAGCTGTGGTTGTTTTGAGTTGATACCCAGTCTGCTGTCTGCTGCTTGACTGTCCCTGGACTGAGGACACCAAACAGGGACGACCTGAGTAGTTCATGAATGGCGGCGGAGGGGCTGCCAGTGTCCCACTTGTTGGCCATCATGGGAGCTGACTGTGGAGGTGATGATGAGCGTGCGTGGGCGTGTGTGAGGCATGTTGTGATGCACGGCAGAGCAGAGCAGCAGGGAGCATAGTGACAGATGGAAAAGAGGCTACGATCGGAGCCTTAAATGAAGATCAAACCAAACACTGTCAACCTGACTTAGCGAGCAAAGAGAACGTACTTTCGCCTCAGATTTGACTTTGATCTGTGTTTTGAAAGAACGCCGCTGTTGTCGCTGGTGATATCCCCCCATCTTTTTTTGTCTTGTTGCTTTGAACAGAGTTCCTGAGATTCTGCCAGCCGAGCAAATCATTATGAATGTGAATGGGATGTTCAGCTTAGCTTTGTGCTTAAAGTATTTTTATATTTAGTGTTTACTCAGTGCAGCACAAAATGCGGCGCGCGACTGCTTCAACCGTTGAACTTCGCTTTTTCAAAAACAAATACACAGGAAGTTTGGTGTTTGGTATTTTCAACTATTGTATCTAAAGCTTAGAGAAATGATCTAGAATGTCTTACAGTCCTTCAGAGCCAAATTTAGCTATGTTTTAACTATAGTTTGCGTACAGTACGTCAAGTGTAAAGCAGCACAATGCAGGCTAGGTAGCCAAACAGGCATTTGACATATTAACAAGCTATTTTCAGCTTTACTTTGTGTTTTACTTCTATACAGCTGTTGAATCATTTAGCATACATGAAGCAGAAATAAAAGCAATGCTAGCCCTTTTTGTTTTCCTTATAAACTTTCAAGTTAGCAAACTCTAAATCACTTTTTTGAACTGCGCATTTTAAACGTCACACTTTAAAAGGGAAAATTGGGCAGCATGGAACATTTTCTCAGGAGCACGTTAAACCAGGAGTGCACTCATACACCGTCAATTTGGAAGCAAGTCAGAATTCAGACACTCTTTCAGTTGCTTGGTTGTACCGTGGTGGACACATACCCACTTGGATCTGCTGTTACTAGTCAGGCATCCGCATAATTTCAGCTATCAGTCAGGAATAACACAGCAATAATCAGTTTGGTGTGAACATTTAGGAATTCAGCGGGTCGGTGTCAATAGCACCCTAATAGCACCCTCTGATATGGAATCAGAGCTAGTTATTACCAGCTTTTGTGGTGAACATAGATGCATCTTTTACCCAAAAGACACATACACAATTACAGTTACAGTTTGTCATTGCTAAGCCTGTTGCTGGACAGGCTTAGCTTGACATGGATCTGTTAGCACCTGACAGCAAAGCAATAAATCTGAATCTCATTTAGTGTGTTATAGTTATGGTTTGAGCTGCAAAGACACATCCAGCTCCTGAGATTGAAAAAGCAAAATAAAATGTAATGTAAAGAATGGAATTAGCATAAAATGTTCTCACCTAGGTTGTTAAAAATCGCACTTTTAAATCTCCCTTTTTGTTGATTTCACAGAACGAAAGGTTTTGTTAATCTTAAACTGTGTTTTAAAGAATGTCTGAGTGTAGAAAATTCTAACTCAGGTTTCGTCAGCCCGAGTTATTTAGAGATTGAACCAGAAATGATCACATACATTCCAGAGGCATTCAAAGTCTGGGAAACACTGATTCTTTTCACGGTTTTGAAAGCAAGCGTTGTGGCGTTTATATTGATGTGTGCCTTGGCGTAGTATTTTCTGAAAATGAACCCTTAGAACCTGCACTTCCATTGGCCATGTAGTTGCTCGATTTGACATTTCAAAAATAGAAACGCGGCAATTTTTGAAAAAAAAAAAAAAAAAACTTCAGTTATCCAATAAAAAAATGTTGGTGCTTCCAGAAATAAGTTGGTTGATTGAAGTAAATCTGCAATGGAAACACTTTTTCAATAACCGGTTGTTGCTACTGGGGCAAACCACAAAAAAAAAGATGATGACAGGAAGTAGTCAGAGGACTACAGCATTGCATTTTTTTTTTTGAAAAATGTTTGTTCTGCGGAGGCAACATGCAATGATTAAATCAAGTAGCTAAAAGGAGAAAAAGAAGGAGTTGTTCCACAGATAACACTGTATTATCTCTCTTGAGTAATTACCATGTAACATTTGCTCCGTAAAGATTAAACACAACAAAGAATAGGATGCTTATTATCAAATGTAGACTGATTAAAATGCACTGAAGAGTTGTAAGTGGAAGTAATTGATAGATTACGCCACAGTTAAAGACTGGCTTACGTGTTTGTGTGAAAAACTAGAGATGCCAAGATTCAAAGCCAAACAAGAAGGGATGCACAAGTTCCTCGGCATCGGTCTGGATGTGTCCCTCCCCATTCGGCTTTAAACACATTCACCAGAAAACAATAGCTGCTTTGTGCAAAACCAAGATTAACCACTCTGACTTTCTAAAAAAACAAAACAACAAAAAACATTGTTTTTAACGCAGATTTTTTTTTCCGACCAGAAAGAGGCTACGCTTTCGCTAGCATTCATTCAATGAAGTTGAATCAGAAGTAAGGCGTGCAGTGTGACACCATGTGTGGTGTGAAAAGTGACTCTACGCAGTGGATGTGAGGTCATGTGAGCTGGTGGGACCGTCATGCGTGTGCCTGTCTCATTGCGTCCCTTTGATACCGGGCGGCTCTCCTTGAATTATATTTTGACGAGGCCTCCTGTCTCCGCCGCTCTCACTCTCATTACGCGAGCTGCTGCTGCAGCAGCCATGGCGGTGGCAGGTGTCCCCAGCCCAGGACAACGCTCCGGTCATGTAAACACTGA